TGGAACCCCGTGCGCTGGGTGGGTTTCCTGAGGTTGCGCCACGTTGCCGCCCGTGCCGCCTCGTGGGCGCCCTGTGCTCTGAGCTTACACGACATAGCTTTCACAGCATAGCTGCCGCAGCATAGCTTACGAAACATAGCTTACAGCATAGCTTACACAACAACATAGCTTCCACAACTTACACAACATAGCTTACATCATATAGCTTACACCCCCAACCTTCACCTCCAGCTCAAACCGCACACTCAGCTTACACGGGCGGACGGACGGACAGACGCCGGCGCATGGTTCCGCGAGGTAGCGGCCGGGGGAGGCCTAAGCCCAGTCAGCTTACACTAGCTTGCACAACAAAGCTTATGCCGCGTGACTTTCACCTCTACAGCGCTATACCGTACTGTTTGGGGCCCACGCTGGCTAACATACATTCCTCAGTGCCTTCCAGGCTACTCATACGGCCACGGCGACTGAATCTGAACTTGCTATGTTCGCCGCGCAGACGCTACGGTGCTCGACAACCTAGGTTTGAACAACGCGAAAGAGGTGGAACCTACAGGGGGGCGAAACATTTTTACACGGCGAGTTCGCAACCAGCGACACAGGTCATGAGAATGGGCTGGGCCGAAACAGATGAGTATGAGGCTAAAGGGGACGACGACAACGGCGACCGCAACGCCGACGAAAACGGCAAGGATGTGTAAATACGCCCAACATGGGCACGAGCAAAAAAGGGACAATGCCCAACAGCAAGTGTTGCCAAACACCGACAGCGGCCAGTGATGGGCAGGCGACTGATGTCCCAAATCGACCATGTCCGCGGGGGGAGCTACTGTAATTGTTGCTCCTCTTCTTGCCGTACCCGCTCTGGTCCTCCAGAGAGAATAGGAGGAGGAGGAGGAGGAGGAGGAGGAGGAGGAGGAGGAGGAGGAGGAGGGAGGAGCAAGAGGAGGAGGAGGAGGAGGAGGAGGAGGAGGAGGAGGAGGAGGAGGAGGAGGAGGAGGGAGGAGGAGGAGGAAAGCGAGGAAGAGGAGGAGGATGGCGAGGAGGGCAATTGGGGAGACAACCGACGACGACGACGACCGACGACGACGACCGACTCTCAGATCTCTTATGGTGTGCGTTGAGGCCAGAACTTCGAGGGAAACCCAGCCGTGGCCATGGGCGCTCCCTGAGGTCCCAAACACTTGCCCAGACGTAGAACAAGAACGATCCTCGATCCCCGAACCTAGATCCCCGCACGAGGATGCACCAAGCTCGCAATAAGCTTAAAAGGTATCTGACACATCTTTAGGGATGAAGCGGTCATCGGGGACATGCTGGAGACTGTCGGGCAACTTACGGGAGAGTCTGCTACCCCAGACACCAATACTTGGAACACATAAGGCCTTATATTGGAGGCCTGGAAAGTGGCACCAACACCAACACAGGGGGCTGCCTCCACAGGGGGAAGGTGATCCTAGAATTCGGTGTTGGTGGTAATATTTCGGTCGCCTTGGAAGCCAGAATATTACCACCATCACCGAGATCGGGATCTTCTTCCCTTGGTGGAGGCACACCGCCGAAATTGGTGTTGGTGTCAACCTCTAGGCCTGCGATTATAATGATTATACTCAAAGTAACCAGGATGGCCGAAACCAACTGCCAGTGGCCGTGGTGGAGCTGGTCCGTGGGGAGGGGGAGGGAGGCTGCCCCACGCTGGGCCGCGCTCCAGGTGGACCCCTGGAGGCCCCAAAACGGTGCGGTGACAGCGTGCCGTGACCTCGAACTCCTACAAGACCCCACTGAGCGGTCCGTCACCGCACGGATTTGGGACCTCGGAGGCCCCAGTCGCCCCAGACGTCCTCCCAGAACGATCCAGGCCCCTAAACTGTGCAGTCACCCCGGATCCCCACTGACTCACAGGCGGTGTGGTCACCGCACCATTTTTTGTGCGACTTGCGAGACCAGGCCGCGGGGAGGAGACTATTCTTCTATTCGCGGCGATAACCGGCATCATGGGGAGGGGGAAGGGGTGGGTGGGCGGGAGGGGGGCATCACGTGACCCCCCCCCGCCGTGTGGGTCTGGCACTACAGACTGTGGCGCCCGACGCACTGCGGCCGCAGAACGCGCGTTCTGGCCCAGAGGGGGGTAACAAAAAACACTCTCGAGGGCGTGCCGATTGGCATGAAGCAGACGGGTCTAAGGGAAACGGGCCTTTGAGCCTTTGACTAGAGCTGCGGGTGCGGGGGAGGGAGGGGGGGGGGGCTTAACGCGCCTCCTTCCCGAGCCGTTTTTTGGGGGACGGCCCCCAGGCACGGGGAGGGCCCCTCCCCAGGGGCCCGAAGACTGCAAACATTTTCAGGAACCGCTTCCGTCAGGTGAGACGAGGCCAGGACGAGGATAGCGTCGGGTGAGGATTCATCGAGAATCTCTGAGATCTAGCGTCTCTGGAAAATGTCTCGGGCGCCGCGGCCTTCTCAGAGCATTCCGGAACGCTCTGAGAGCGTTGCGGAACGCTCTGCAACGGGTATATCCTCGTCCTAGCCTCGTCCGATCACGACCCGCTTGAGTCATCCAAGGGCACGCTTACCCAAACCTCTAACGAATTGAAAACCACAATGCGCAATTTGTTTCTAAATTTTCGGCTTCTTGGGGCCCTTACCGAGCCCTGGGGGAATCAAAACACGACTCTCGATCAGCAACCGGCCCTGGGGAAGGGGTCCAGGACTTCCGGGGACCGCGTCTTGAAAAAATCAGGGCACTGCATGTCTGGGCCCAGGACCCGCTTGCTTCATCCAGGCGCAAACTTACATGAATTGCAGATCCGTGGATCTGACGCGTGGGCGCCAGATTCATGGATTGGGGACAGCACGTCACGAAGCACGACGACGCCAATGCCGCCTGATTTGGCGACGGAACGTGCCGACTCTGTATGGGAGCGGACCCGTCACTCATCCACGCTAGTCCCCAGACATCCTGCGTCTCGATGTTTCGAGACACGGGCACCCGACCTCTCGACCACCTCCCCCTGGCCAGTTCTCCACCCCGACATGTGTCTGCACAGTCCTGGGGCCTCGGAGCCGGCCTGCAGCAGGCCAACAGAGGCAGAGACGGACCAGCCGCCCCGATCTCCTCGAGACGCGCGGTGTCTGGGCCCAGACCTGCGCTGGGACCTCCGAGGCCACGGGCCGCTGGGGGCGGGCGGGGGCGCCACCCGAGGGGACAGTGGAAGGCTACCGCATCAGCTCGCGTCTGGCGGACGTTCCCAGCGCCTCCCAGCGCCAGAGGCCCGAGGCGTGAGCACACCGAGGAAAGGGCCGCGAGGCGGAGACGAATCTGGCGGCATGCAGCAGATGCCGTCGCCTCCCCTGGGGGCACAAGAAGGTGCCGATCCCGCTGCTCCCCAGACCTGTCCCGCGGTGCGTTCTGGCTGTAATTTCGAGGCGCATTCAGCGGTGGCGACGAGGGCTTCCCAGGAGGCCCCCACAACGGGGAAAACGAGGGAAGGGTGGCGGTCTGGGGCATGGGTAACCCTGAACCCACGAGAATAACCCCCCAGGGATAGTAAAGTTCGGGGTTCTCGGGGAGAAAATAAAGTTGTCCGCCAGAGCCAGCATAAAGAGATATCAAGAGGAAAAAGCTGAAGATATCTTGAGGATTGTCTCTGTTGAGACATCCTCAACGAATTGCTTGTTTCGCTTGAGACATCCTCGAAATATTTGTCTGCTTCGCTTGAGACATCTTCAAAGTATTGCTTATTTCGCTTGAGACATCCTTGAGGGAGGAGGAGGAGAAAGAGCAAGAGGAGGAGAGGAGAAGGAGATGGCAAAAATCCAAAGTTTAAAACTTATCATATTTAATGTGTAAACGCTTGATGAAAATTAAAATTGTCATCTGCTCGTGTAGGGTAGCTCACGTGCCTCGTTTTCCCAGGATAATCAACCCCAGCGATAAACAAGTTCAGGGCGCCAGGGGGAGGAGGAGAAAGAGATAGAGAGACAGAGAGAGAGAGAGAGAGAGAGCGACAGAGAGGCCAGGAAGGAGAAAGAGATAGAGAGACAGAGAGAGAGAGAGACAGAGAAAGAAAGAAAGAGAGACAGAAAGAACTACAAAGAGACATAAGGACATTGGTTTCGCTTGAGACATCCTGAAACAACGTGTTCGCGTCGCTTGATGTTGTTATCTCAACATAAGAAGGAAGTAACCTCGATGGCGAACTTTTCCCGTGATAATGAAGTTCGGCCTCCGCGCCCCCGCGCCCCCGACCAAACTCTTATTGGTCGACGATAATCAACTCTAACTACTGAAGGGGGGGGGTACATTATTATCGTGGGCATGGGGTTACCTCTTCCTCCCCTGAAGAGCTCCCCCCTCCCCCAATCCCCCCCCCCCCCTCCCCCGGGAGATCCTCGTCGTCTGGTTCCCGGGTCCTATCGAGCCTCGGCCCACCGATCGAGACCGTCCGAGCACCCCCGGGCTGGAGCACCGCCGAGAGCCTGCGCGTCGAGCAGTGGATCGACTGCAGCACCGATTCCCCCCAGACTTGGTTTTCCCATCGGATCTACAAGCGAATGTACCATGCTCAGCGGATCGACCCGCAATATACGCATTCCTCGCAGATTCTACGGACAACCCAATTGTGGGGGTGAACCAAACCTGCAATCGATCCACTACTCGAACGGAAACGCCCGAACACCTCGAACCCGGAACCCCTTTCGCCCGACCCGGCTCAGGACTCGCTTGCTTCGTGGCGGCGTCCCAGGACTCCCGAGGCCAAGAGCCGTGGCGGGGGGCGTGCTACCCGGAGGGCAGGCGCGTGAGCTGGATCGAATCGCGAACTCGGATCTCCTCGGAAACGGCTCGGATCGCCAGCGACTCGTCCCGAATCGATTCGAAATCGGATCGCCGCGCCTGGCTCTGGCTGGCCCCTGCCAATGCCGGTGAACCGAACCGAATCAGAACGAATCGGAACCGCGGCCAGGCAGCCGAATTGCGTCCTAGGCGGCCAGGGGCGCCCGGGGGCCTCGCCGGGTGGCAAGGCCGCCGCTGCCGGCGCCATGTTGCCTCGAGGCAGAGGCTGGGTCACCGCCACCATCCCGCCCGCCGCCACCGCTGCTCCTCCTCCTCCTCCTCCTCCTCGTGATGGCGCTCCTTTCAACTTTGCACGGGCCCTGCCTGGCGGAGGCGCAGCGTCTGAAGACGTCAAGCGGGGGGAACAATCAACCTTGGTTCGACGTGCTGGTAAACAACAGGCACCCTCTCTTATCACCTTGGTCTCGAGTTCCTCCTCGTCCTCGTCCTCCTCCTCCCGACGCTGCGACTGCCGCTGCCGCTGCCGCTGCCGCTCCTCGTGATCTTCCTCCTCGCCATCCTCCTTGTCTCTCTGGAGATCTGATACGCGGGCGGAAGGAGGGGGACAAAAACAGCATTTCCGTCCATCTTGAACAACGCTCGCTGTCTGTGTCGCTGCCGCTGTCGATTTAGAACAGAAATCGCTTGTCCTCACCCCCCCCTCCGTTTGCGCAACTGTTGCAAATTTCAAGCTTCAGGATCAAAAACGATGGGGAAGTATCACACGAAAAGCCTGGACGACCTTGACTCCTGGGGGTGCGACAGGGAGGAGTTGCTTGCAAGGAAAAGGGACGGAGGAGGAGCAGGAGGAGAGGACGAGTGATGAGGAGGAAAAGGCGCACTTACGCAGAACGAAAGCGGCTCATCTTGAGGCGCCAGCGGCGAAAAAATCGTTGACGAAAGAGCGTCGGCGCCGCCGAACGCACAGCGTCTGGACACTTTGCTTGCAACAATTGGGGGGTTAAGAGAGATGGATTGAGGCTGAGTGCGACCCGTGTGCCGTGTGGCTTGGAGTCCGTGAGACAATTCGCAAACTATCTGTGGCATTTGGCGACCAAATAGCCCTCCCCCGTAGAATCTTAACAGAGGCGGGCCTGGGTGCCACGGATCCGATTTCTCTCGGTGACCTGTCTTGGTTGATTCATATGAATGTAGAACAGATACCAAAAAAACGGATCCGCATGAAAACTCAGGACAGTAATCAGATCCACAACATCTGGGCTCGGATCCGCGCAGACGAAGTCGGATCCACCGCATCACTTACATCTCATTGGATCCGGCCAGGTTTATCTCATGCGTGCTGGCGCAAGAGTTGAAGGCATCGTGCCCCAGCCCCAGAGGAGCAAACATCTCGTCCTGGGGATGTAGACAGAGAGAGTAGGAGGAGGAAAGAGGAGGAGGAGGAGGAGGAGGAGGAGGAGGAGGAGGAGGAGAAGGAGGAGGAGGAGGAGGAGGATGGGGGGGAGGAGGAGGAAGGTGAAGCAGGGGAGGGGGAAGAAGGGGGATGAGGGGGGGGGGCATGATTGGGACAAGCAGGAGTAGTAGGAGGTAACGGGAGGGCAAGAAGGGGCAGGAGGAAGCGAAGGATGGGCGCAAGGAGGGACACGGGGAGCATGAGAGCGGGGGCTGGGACGGGAGCTCGCCAGACGAGCTGACTGACCTACCTTGCCTGCATGGCCGCGCCAGTGGAAGGTGGGCGCGTCGGCGTCCCGCGGTTGCACCGAAAGCCGACAGCCCTCCTCGCGTCCTACCCTCACTCGCAGTCCTCCTCTTCGTTTCCTCTCCCTCCTCCCTTCCCCATCCCCCTCCACCTCCTCTCCGAAGGGGAACGACAGGGGAGGACCCCGTCAGTGGGGGGAACATCGAGCTGGAATCGGCGATACCTCGTCGATAGATCGGCGATAGGCCCTCGAAAGCAAATGCGCACGCTCCTGGGCGGGATGGGCTATCAAGCCCCTATCGGCGAGGAATGGGCGGGTGGGGGTCGATGCATCCCCCCGTTGAGCAGACTTTGCCCCCGGCCCCTCCTCGGCCCCCTTGGCCAGGGAAAATGAACGACGGCTGCGAACCTGGGCGTCGTTCCCAGGCATGCGATGCCCTGGTTACGTTCAATGCGCGGTCCCCAGGAGTCCTGGGGCCAATTTTTCATTCCCAGTCGTTCTGTCAGCTGTCCCAGGGCCTGCCGAGGGCCCCTGGAGGCCGAAAACGACCACAAACCCCTGCCGAGGGCCCCTGGAGGCGCGCCTTCGCCACCCTGCCTTCGGCTCCCAACCAAGAGGTTGGGACAGTGCGGGGGCAGTCGCGCGCGCCGTCAGACCATCACCTATACCCTATATACTGACCCTTGAGCCAGGACAATGGAGGCATGAGGAGACGGGCAGCGGAATACGTGCCAAATGTAACGTCTCGACCCGTGCAGACGCTGCAGCATGCGGCGCACAACAGCTCGGGCATCCAATCCAAACAAACGACACCACAATTCGGAAAGAGCAGTCGGGGCGGAAGTAGGCCTAGGGATCGGAACAGGAGATCAATGCAGACGACGAAGATGCACGACTATGCCGACGACTATGCGTCGGTGGTGCAACTTCGTCTACTTGCACCCTGTGTCATCGAGTAAACAAACACTGGCAGCCATTGAGACCGGTGCTCTGAAGTGGGAGACGCGGATTAGCTAGCCGCTGAACTTACCTGCAGTTCGCAGCCTATGTGCAATCTGCCAACACTCATGCTTCGAAATGGTACTGAATGGCGCCACCTCTCTTTACGATGCCTACAATGAGCATGTTCTGCCAAGCTGAATTCTGCACAAAGGCGTACATAGACCCGCTCAAGATCTGAATCTGCCTTGCTGCCTCCCCCAGAACGGAAAGCTACAGCCCGGAGCTCTATTTCCTCTTTGCATATTTGAACAGCCCCATGGGAACCCTTCTGCCATCGATCTTCTCCCTGGACGCGGCAGGCCGTCTCCAATCTCCAGGGTGGCAGCGCGCGGGGCGGGATCGACAGGACGAAGAGGAGGACAAGGTAGAGGGGCAGGTGTAGTACACGTTGCGCGCCCCCCCCCTCCCCCACACCCCCCACTCCACGAGGCAGCCTGGAGAAGATGAGATACAGATAACATGTTGTTTCTCGTGCGACCTTCGTGGACAGATGCCTGAGTCTGTCCAGCGACACACGCCTACTTGCGACACGCTCGTATTTGCGAGCGCCACGTGGCTTGTCGGATCTGCACGGAAAGGCGACACGCAAGTCGCACCACACACGCACACACACACACACACACACACACACACACACACCGACGCGCAAATTTCATCCAACGGCTGCTTCAATACGTCGGGCTCTACGACGGAGCACCTGTTGGGGGAGAGACAGATAGCGATACCGCTGCTCCCGGACCTCTCCGCTCTGACCAGAATTTCGAAGACTCCAGCCGCCAGGACGAGGGCTCTCCAGGACGAGCGGCGACGTCCGCATCTCCTCCTCCTCCTCCTCCTCCTCCTCCTCCTCCTCCTCCTCCGCACCTGTGCTGCCTCGGAGCAGCCTCACTCGGTGCATGTAGCTGCCGAAACTGGCGCTCCCGAGGACCTCGAGGAGCAACAACAAAAACACAAACAGGAACGGTCGGAGGTCCGCGCGGATTTCCGGCACGGGCGCTGGAGGCGCCGACAGCGGGGCCTGGCGTCGATTCAAGAGATCCACGCGGACCTCCGAACGTTTCAGCTTACTCCAGATTTCGTAATAAAAGGGAGGGGGTCTGGACCCTCCAAGACAAGCCATTTCAGACCCCCCCGTGGGAGAACCCTCCAAAACATCGTCTCCAGACCCCCCCAGGCCCTCCAAGATAGCCTGGAAGAGACCCCCCCCGAAATGAGACCCCCCTCCCTTTATTACGAAATTTGGAGTAACCAATTTTCTCTTCTTCGGGGACCACCACCCAATCGTCCGTGCGCAGTCTCGTGCTGGGCGGCGGCGCCAGGATCGTGTAGTTGTGCCAACCGGTCCCCGGCGCAAGGCTCAGCGTCTCCTCGCGCCTCCTGTATAGCGCCAGGGCGACGGCGGGGCCCAGGGGGCACGCCTCGTCGTCCTCCTGCAGCCCAGGAGAGGGACGTGCCTGCTCCGACGCCTGCACCTTTCACAAGCGGCGAACATATCTAGACATGCTCGCGTCCTATTTAAAAAACGACGGATCTTATTCGTCGTTCTCGGACTCTGGGAGCCCTCGCCGGGCCGCAAGACTGTCGAACAACGACAGAGGGCTTGGAGCTGGCTCCAGGGAAAGGGTCGATACTTCTGGGGACCCCTATGGAAAAATCAAGGCATCGGAGCCTGGGTATCTTTATCCACGCCCTCGCGATCTGGATTCCGGGGCGCGATCCCGTCGATACGCGGTCGCATGGATGAGCTCCGCAAGGGGAATCTGTAAACAGAAACTCCCTGAATCCGCGGGATAACAGCTCAGGGGCCCGGCCAGCGAGGAAGTGGATACGGATATGATTCCCGCCCACGAGGACCGCGGCGCTGCCGAGCTTTGTTCGGAAGTGGTCCAGCGCCAGGTCGCCAAACAGCTCGCTGAACCTGTGGCCAGCGTATGCGGCAGGTACGCGCATCTGCCATGGATAGGCACGCTGGTCCCGCTGGTGGGGCATAACCAAGGCCTCCACAAGCTCGATGATAGCAGGCATGTGGAACATGAATCCGAGCATCGCCCCCCACAGCTCTGGGGTGAATATCTGCCCAGCCGCGAAGCGCGGGTGGTACATCGCAGAAATCGTCTCCCCAGCCTGCCTCACGGGCACATCAGAAATGGCGTCCGAAGCACCCTCGGGGTCGGCGTCCGCGGAGGCTGCACCAATGCTGTCAGTAGAACCACTGAATAAGCTGCGGACGCCCGCACTGAAGGTAGTGCTCAGACGCCTACCGTCTTCCCCCGCTCTCTCCTGCTCCTGCCTCGCGCGATCATCTGCGGGCTGCCCACTGAGGAGATCAGCCATGCTCACGACGTGCTTGTAACAGAGCTTGGGCAGCTTCCGAAGAGAGCCGCTGTGCTGCAGCTCATAGGTGGTGAACGCCTCGCGCCCAGACATGCCGCACCAGCACTCCACCACCTGGGCGCAGAGCACGATGCGTGTGTCCTGGTGGAGGGCATCTCGGCCCTGGGCAGCACCGGCCTGCCCGCTCATCACAACCACCGCGCTGGCCTCGAGAATGCCGGCCTCTATCAGAGACTCCACCTTTGCGCAGTTTCCCTCGACGACCACAACACCGCTGTCCGAGTCCTCGTCGAGAAACATCCTCGGCACCTCCGTGGGCGCGACGACCACAATGGTCCTCCTGTCCGGCAGGTGTGGGGCGCAGAGGGACGTCACGAAAGTGCGAACCTGTTGCCACACCTCCCCTTGACAGACGATCACCACCACCAGTTCTTCCTGCGTGTGTGCGAGTTGGGCTCTGACTGATCGCACCCAGTTCCGCTGCTCGTCCTGGCCCGGAGCCCCCTTCCGGTTGACAGACGACAGCACGCTTTCCAGGCCAGAAGCCCGCCGCCGGGGCGAGCTACCGTCGTTCACTGGGAGAGCGTCGGACGCGAAAGGCAGCAGCGACTCACTGGGAGTCATCGTCCTGCTCATGAGTCCCGCGTGCTCACTGGTGCTCAGGAGCCTGCCCTTTGGGACCAGGGCGCGCCGCAGGCTGCGGCCGAGGAGCTTCGAGGCGGAAACATGCGGGCCCTGCCGAGTCTTGCGCCGTTCCAGGTGCCGCGCGATCAGCAGCGACCGGCGCCAGTTGCAAGCAGAACGTCCGCTCTTGCGGCACTCAGCCAGCGTCGTCTCGTCCTTGGCAACCGCAAAAAAGATTTGACCTGCCTCTGCTGGAGTCATATCCTGAGGGCAGACTAGAAGCTGGCCACCTAAGAACGTGGCGATCACGATGGCACCCGTCCTCGTAAACACAGCAGTGGAAATCTCTCCGAAAGAGAGGCCCGCCAGGTTCTCACTGAGCTCGAAACCGAAGACGCTGCGCTGCAAGCCCTCCATGTAGTCCAAGATCCAAGGCGTGACCTTGTCCTTCCATTCGGAGCGCCTCCATAGGCGCTTCTGTCTCGTGGTGATGCTCTCGTTGCTGGCGCTGGAGCCCCTGGAGCATGCCTCAGAAGACGCCCGAGATCTTGTTTCAGTGGCTACCCTGGAAACCGAACGCTGCCGGTCGAAGTGCGAGTTGGAGCCGTCGGAACTGGACGAATACCCTGACGATTTCATGTCGTAGCTATCGTAGCTTGGCGTTGGGAAGTTCGATTCTCCAATGGGTTCCCGCAAGCCGTGGGGCGTGGCGCCGTCGGCGCCATCGGTCACGATTCCCGCGTGTCTTTTCCTCCTGGTCACGCTCACGAGGCCGCGAGATTCCTCTTTCACGTCCACAGAGAGCAGCATGCCAGTGATCATGGGCACGAGGCCATGACAGCGCACGTTCTGCGCCAAGATGTTTGCCTTGAGCTCTTGCAGCGAGAAGCACCGTGAAATCTCAATGCCCGCCTGTACCGCTAGATCTTTCGACTGCGGTCGAAGCAACATGACGCGGATGTGTGCGTCGGGGAAGAACTGCCGCATGAGCACCGCCGTGAAAAGGTTTTCCTCATCGTCCCTGTCTGGTGCTTCGCTGGCAACGTCCGCCAGCAGGAAAGCCAGGCTCTGGCCAATCGCAGCGCGATCCATGTCCGCCCTGCTACTCAGCTTCCCCACGATGAAGAACACGCGCTTCCGCACCGAAGCGCTCAGGCCCTCGGCCCGCAGAAAGTCATCAAAAGTTGCCCCCCGCGTCTGGTCTTCCCCGTCGCCCGCGGCATCCCATGGCATCCGGGAGAAGATCACAACGTCTGGCCACTCGTGCGACCGCTCCGTGTGGAGGATCTCGCGCAGGAAGCCAGCCAACATCGAGGAGAAGTGTACCGCGCGCCTCCTGGTGCAAAGGACGACCACGACGTGGCGCTGCGGGTTGCCCCTCTTCCGGGTCTTCGCCCGGTAGGTCCCCGAGCCCTCGCGTATCTCCGCCCAAGCCCGCGTAAACTCGACCTGCACCAAGAACAGGTAGAGGAAGCCGGCCACGATGAAGATCGAGGTCAGGGCTCGACCTATGACGGTCCGCGGGGCGAAGTCACCGTAGCCCACGGTCGTGATGGAGACGACGATCCAATAGCACATCTGCGTGGGAGATATCCTGTCGCCGGCAGGAGAGACGAAGAACCTGTCCGCGAGCAGGTAGTCGAAGAAGGGAAGCTCGCCCAGGACCTCGCTGGTGAAGGTCACGCCGGCCATGGTCATGATCAAGCAGATGATCCTCAGGACGAGAAGCACGACCATCTGCGCCACCAGTCCTGTGTACTTGGCGCGGCGGGAGAGGCCTTGGATCTGCTGGAAGTCGTCAATGACCGACGCGGCACGTAGCCAGTGCAGGGACAACCAATCGACACCGCCGCCGCCCGCCGGCCACCAGGCACTGCCGCTAGCGTCCTGGTGCCACAGGAGGTGCAGCGTGGGAACGGTCGTGAAAGCGTCCACCCAGCTCCTCCAGGGGAGCAGCACATGACACAAACATCAGCTTTCGAAGACCCGCGCGAGCTTCTTGGACTGGAGGCCAGTGCTGGAGCTAGGCCAGGGCCGAGGCCGGGGCCGAA